AACTACTTGGCCAACTGATCGTAAGCAATTAAGATTTGTGCCCATTCCAAGGGTAGGTACCCAATGGAATTATGAAAACATTTAACAATATAATTAAAATCACATGTCAATTAAATTTTGCTAAAGATAATCAAAAGCCAGCTTTAATAGTACATCAGTCATCAATAGGGCAGTGCTAGTAATTCAATTCTAATTTAGAAAAGAAAGTGGAATGAGGGATATCATCATTGACATCAGATGGATCTTGCTTGAAAATAGACAATAAAAGACAGATGTTTACTTGTGCTTTATTGATTATGCAAATGCTTTAAACTGTGTGGTCATGACAAGCTATGGATAAAATTGAGAAAAATGGGGATTCCAAAACAGTTGATCATGAGGAACCTGTACATAGACCAAGAGGCAGTTGTTAGAATAGAACAAGGGGATACTGCATGTTTTAAAACTAGAGAAGGTGTAAATCAGGGTTGAATCCTTTCACTATACTATTCAGTCTATATGCTAAGCAAATAGTCTGGGAAACTGGATTATATGAAGAAGAATGTCACGTCAGGATTGGAGGAAAACTCATTAACAATCTGTGATATGCAGATGATATGATACAACCTTACTTGATGGAAGCTAAGAGGACTTAAACTACTTACTGATGAAGATCAAAGACTACAGTCTTCAACATGGATTGTGTCTAAAAATAAAGGAAATGAAAGCCTTCACAATTGGATCAATAAATAAGATCATTATAAATGGAGAAAGGACTGAAGTTGTCAAAGATTTCATTTTGGTTGGATCAACCATCAACATTCATGAAAGCAGCAGTCAAGAAACCACATGATGTATTGCGTTAGGTAAATCTGCTGCACAAGACCGTTTTTAAAGTGTTCCAGAACAAAGAGATCAGTTTGAGGACTAAGGTGCTCTTGACCCAAGCCATGATATTTTGAATAGCCTCATCTGCATTGAAAAGTTGGACAATGAATAAGGAAGACCACAGAAGAATTGATGCAGTTGAGTTATGTTGGAGAAGAATATTGAAAGTACTGCCAAAAGGACAAAGAAATCTGTGCTGAGAGAAGTACAGTCAGAATGCTCCTTAGAAGCCTGGATAGTCAGACTTTGTCTCTCATATGTCTGGCGTATTATCAGGAAGGACCAGTCCCTGGAGAAGTACACTATGCTTGGTAAAGTGGAAGTTCAATGAATAAAAGGAAGCTCTTCAACTAGATGTATTGGTACAGTGCCAGCAGCAATAGGTTCAAGCATAGCAAAAATTGTGAGTATAATGTAGGATTAGGCAGTGTTTTGTTCTCTTATCCATAGCGTTTCTGAGTTGCAATTGTTTCACTCAATGAAATCATGGGTCAATTTTGAGTAGAGATAGTTTCTTTCGTTAGCTTCACAGTTAAGGCTAACATTTGTGATTTTATCTTTGTCATATATTTAGAGACCTATATATAATCAATTTTTGCTCTGGTAATAAATTATTAGAAAATGGAAGCTTTTGTAGAAGTCTTTTTTGTTTGTTTGTTTTTAAACTCTTTTTTGTGTGTATTAGATAAGGTTTACAGACAAGATAGCGGCTCTACATTCAGCGAACTATACATCTTGTTTCATCTTAATAATTACAATCCTCTTCCTGCAACAACATTTATCCTACTTCCTTTGTGTGGCTCCCCATTTACATATTATATTTCACAAATGAAAAAGGCAAAATATTTTGATGTACATGTACAGAACAAAAAATATACATTCATTTAAATGTCCAAAGGGTACATTCTGCCAGCTAGTCTCTCTCGCTCTCTCTTTTTAATGTTTTATTGTGAATTATATGATAGTTTACATGGGAGAACATTAGTTTTACATTCATCCTATTGTATATCATTTCATTGCCATGGTTACAATCCCCTCCATGCATCATCAACCAACCAAAGGGTATACCTGCCCCCTAATCGTCAGCATACAGCTTCTCTCCCTCTCTGGGTCTAAAGTCCCCAGCCACTCCATCTCTTCACATCATCGTCTCTTCCTCCATCTCAGGCATCACTGCTTCTCTGGTAGGTTCTTACTCTTTGCTCTTCTCCCTTCATGGTCCCAGGAATCTCTGCTTCTAGACTGCAAAGTTAATCACTCCCCTCCTTGCTACAAAACATTTACCTTTACATTTCCACCCCTCACAATCAGTCCTGATAGCAATTATTCACTATTGTCTCACAAGAGACCTATCTGCATTTCCTGTCATCAGCCCTACCTAGACAGATTGGATACTACTCAGTGGAGATTCTACCTTCCTTCATGCCTTTTGGATCTAGGTTCCCTTTTGAAAGCTTGTAAGCCAGTCACTTCTTGCCCTTTGTAGCCCCCCCATTTTGGGTAGCCAATGTCCAAGTTGCCCATCCCTGTCTACTCTGTGTATGGAGTGTGTGGGAATGATCCTTACTGTAAAGATTTGTTCCTTCTTTTGAGCTACAGCATCCATAGATGTATGTCAAGTTCATGAAATTGCTTCAGATTACTCTTTTTTTCCTCTTCTTTCTTCTTCTGGTTGAGCTCTGACCATCTAGTCATTGAAGCCAGGTCAAGTGGGTATTATCTGCAAGTGTGGGTATTCTTACACATATGCCCTCTCTTCTTATCAGCTGGATGCTTCACTCTCCACTCTAGTCCTCTGTGGCTATGTCACTGAATCTGGGCCCAAGAGTCCCCAGGTCTTGCCACGCTCCAGCTAGTCTCTTGCCCACAGTCACACAGCCACCATCTCTGCTGTTGCCATTTTTCTAGGTAGGGATCTCATGGTCCACTCATGCTTTTCCTTCTTGATGGTCCTAGGGTCATCTGTCCCTGAAATGAAAGATTACTTACTCCCTCCATTTAACTACACATCTTCTACAACTACAGTTGTGACAATCATAATTAATCCTGCTAACAGTTATTCACAATTGAGTCATAAAATCCTGTCACTGTCCTCTCCCATCTCCTTTTACAAGATCCATCTGGGAAAGAGGGAAATTCTTCAGTGCTACTTGTATCTTCAATATCACCAGGGTCACTGATTGTGAACAGGTTTCAGTGGAGCTTCCAGACTAAAACATAAAGGAAAAGAGGAGAGACAGACTACTTAAGAATGTTTAGTCACTGAAAACCTTAGGAATTGCAGCAGAACATTGTCAGATACAGTGTCAAAATAAGAAATCATTATAAATAACATCAGAATATTGTCAGATATGGAATCCTGGTGTGGCACTGTGGGTTAATATGCAAGGTCAGTAGTTAAAGCTTGCAGGTCGTTCCTTGGAAACTCTATAATGGGTCGCTATGAGTCAGAACTGACTCGATGGCACATAACAACAATAACAACATTGTTAGATATAGTGCCAGAAAATGAGAGCCTGAGGTTGGGAGGTACTAAAAACACCACTAGCGTAGAGCTGCCTCTTCACAGTAGAGTTGGTGTGATGCTTGTAGGATAAGCAAGGCCAGTTTGAATGACAAGATCAGTTCAAAATCAACAGCTGATCTTTGGAAACCCTATATAGGGTGGCTGTGAGTTAGAACCCACTCGATGACACTTTACAACAACCAATTTACCGAGCATGATGTCCTTCACCAGAGATTGTTCTCTACTGACAAAATGTCCCAAATACAAGACACAAAATCTTGCCATCCCTGCTTCTGAGGAGCATTCTTTAAAAAAAAAAAAAAATTTATTGTGACTTGAGTGAGTGAAAGTTTACAAGGCAGACCATCAATTTTACATTCAACAAATCATTGCAATAATTACAATCCCTTCCATGTACTATCAGCTAATATTATTGACTTCTATTACCCTTTTCTTTTTGATGTCCACATACCACACTGGAAATAAATATTAATTTAAATGTCCAAAGGGCCCATTTTGCAAGCTAGCCTCTTGCCCACATGCACAATGCCTTTCTCAGTCCATTGGATTATAGTCCTCTGCTGCTCTGTCTCTCTGTACCATTGTCCCTGCCACCATCTCTATCATTACTGCTTTTCTTTTTAGGATCCCTTGATCCTCTCATGCTCTTCCCTCTTGCTGGTTCTAGGGTCCTCTGTTCCTGAAATGACAGATTAATGGCTCCACACTTTTAGCTACACCTCTTCTATATTTACAGCTATGACAATCATCATTAATCCGGATAAAAATAACTCATGATTGAATCATGAAATCTTATTCCCATCATCACCAGACCTATCTGGAAAAGAAGAAAACTATTCAGTAGGGATTCTCTCTTACCCTGCTCATTCTGACATAAGCACCCTTATGAAAGCATGCAAACCAGCCACTTCATGCCTTTATAGCCCTCCAGTTTTGATAGCCAAATCTAAGCTGTCAGGCCTTATCAACTTAGAGGACACAAACTTGATCCTTGACATGGCGAATCCTTCCCTTTTGGTTGGAGCTTTGGGCAACTTCATCCATAAGCAAAGGTCCAGTTCATAAAGTTGCAGCAATTTGCGCTTGCTCCCTGTATCAAACTTCTTTATCTTCATCTAATAAGGAGCTCTGGTAGAATAGTGGTTATGAATCGGGCTGCTAACCTCACAGGCAACAGTTTGAAACCACCAGCTGCTCTGCAGGAGAGAAATGAGGCTTTCTGCTCCCATAAAGATTTACAGCCTCAGAAATCCTGTACAGGGTCACTATGAGTCGGAACTGACTCCACAGCACACAACAACAACAACCAATTTCTGGCCAGCAAGCCATCCAAGCTAGGTCAAATAGGTAATGTTTGCAAGCTTGAGGGTTCACACACACTTCTCTCCACTTCAGCCAGCTGGCTGCATCATTCTTACCTCTAGCTCCCAGTGGCTAAATCAGTGTCCTTGGACTCCAGAATTCATACGTCTCCCTGAACTTCAAACCAGCCAGCCCTTCCTCTTCTTTTCTCTCATTCAAGATCTTTGGCTGTCTTTGGAACATGGCCAAACTCAGCACATGTCTTCATTGCTGCATTTCTCCCACTTCTACTCACAAGTTGACCATGGTTGTCACCAGTGAGTATACAAGATTGTGTTTGTGTTCCCTTTGACTTTCAGTCTTAGAAAGGGGTTTACCCTGATGGGCTAACTTGTCTTGCCTTGATGGCTCCCCCTAAGCTTCTCCTTGCCCCCTACTGGTACTTCCAACTTTCTTCATCAACACCGTAACCCAAATACATTGATTCTTTTATGACTTCACTTACTGGTCTTACTTATTCATTGTACAAATTTCACATGCAAATGAGGTGAGTGAAAACACCATGGTTTGACTCAGGTTCACCTTAGTCCTTAAGGTGACATCTTTGCTTTTTAGCACTTTAAAGAGCTCTTTTAAAGCAGATTTGCCTAGTGTAATACATTGTTTGATTTCTTGACTGTTGCTTTCATGAATGTTAACTGTGGACACATGCAAAATGAAGAAGTTGACAACTGTAATCTTTTCTTTGTTTACCAGGATGTGTCCAGTTGTGATGATTTTCATTTTCTTTACATGGAAGTGCAACTCACATGGTCTTTCTTGTAGGCTTTCTTGTAGGCTTATAGATATAATCTTATAACAGATAGCATTTTGCTTAAATATAGGTCTTGACATGTTCTTGACAGTGAAATCTAGAGTGCCTTCTATCCTGAGGAGATTTATTAGACATTGTTCTGCTTCTAATCATAAGATTTTCAGTGGCTAACCTTTCAAAAGTGGTCTGCCTCTTTTTCTTTCTAGTCTGCCTTAGTCTGAAAGCTCTACTTAAACCTGTTCACCATGGGTGACACTGAAATATTTGAAATATAATTTCCTGGATCAAAATAACATACAAGACACCACAGTACAGCAAAATCATAGCGTTTAATAGATGGAACAAAATAGTAACAACTTTCTTGCTTTATATATGTTCATTTTGTTAAATTTTCCATGTTGTTTTCTGTTCTGATTCTTATAGAAACAGTATTTATTTTCTTTAAAAAAAATTTTTTTTTAAGTTCTAGGATACAAACACAGCATCTGTACAAGTATTTGTTGTTGTTGTTAAGTGCTGTCGAGTCAGTTCAGACTCACAGAGACCCTGTATAGGATTTCTGAGGAGAACCTGGTGGGTTTTAACTGTTGACCTTGTGGTTCACAGTCCAGTGCTGATCCCACAATGCCTCATCAGCATCTACTATTTGCGGAGTCCTGGCGTGGCACTATAGAATAATCACTCAACCATAATTTCAGTTTAAATGCAAAGTCGGCAGTTCAAACTCACCATCACTCCATAGAAGCCTTATACAGAGTTGCTATGAGTAGGAACCAACTTCATGGCACCTAATAACAAAAACAATAATTTGCAAGGCAGAGTTCTATTATGGTGCTGTAGGATAAACACTGGACTGCTAACTGTAAAGCTGTAAATCCACCAGCCACTCCTTGAAAACCTTATATGTGGTTGATATGAATAGGAACCATTTCGATGGCATTTACCAACAACAACAAAAATTTGCAGGGTAAAACTGAGGTTGTCTGCTCCCAGAAAGATTTACAGCTTTGGAAACTATCTGAAGAAGTTCTGTTCTGTTCTATTGTTGTTGTTAAGTACCATGGAGTCGGTTCCAACTCATAGTGATCCTGCACTGAGTTTCTGAGGTTGGTCCTATAGTGTCACTATAAATCAGAATGAACTTGATGGCAGTGGTGAGTCATTTATTAGATATTTACTCTGTGCTATGTATCATACCATTTGATTCACATTTAAAATATTTGTTTCTAATAACATTTCAAGACAGGTTTTAGTATTCCCATTTTCCGAATGAAAAGTTGAGCTACATACAGATTAATCAATTAATTTAATCAACAACATATGTGTAGCAAATTATATATAATAGTGGTGGTGGTGGTTACGTGCCGTGGAGTCGGTTCCGACTCATAGCAACCCTGCACAGGGTTTCCGAGGCTGTAAATCTTTACGGGAGCAGAAAGCCTCATCTTTCTCCCGTGGAACAGCTGGTAGTTTCGAACTGCTGACC